ACCGGGTAGGCACAGGGACCCTGACATTTAAAGGTCATTTAAGACACAACAAATAAAGAAGTAAATTATAAAAGAAACAACTTTACTGCATGTTCAGAAAAGTGCTAAAACGATCTGTATTTTGGGGCTTTTTTTTAATTACACTCTTTAATCTTGGGACTTCCTCGTATTTTTTTTACTGCATTCTTGTTTCTTTTTTTTTTTTCTTTATGGACTTCCACAGAATTGCAAAACGCTTTCATTCTTATACCACAGCAGTTTTTTGTGAAAATTCAGGTACAGTTTGGTACAGTAATGTAGTGTTATTTGTCAATACACTTGAATTAACTGCTGATGCCATTTTTAATACTATAATACATTAGTGTAATGACACTTAGCAATGTAAATGTTTAAGTACACAAAAAGAACAAAGTAAGAAAATGTAAAATTGCAAAGTGATAGTTGGTACATAAATTAACAGACAAAAGCTGGCAAATCCAGCCGCCTTTACTGTAATTTCAAGGGAAATTTCTTCTTCTCCTCCTTCTTCACAGTCATATCGTCGCCTCACCAGACTCACTGGCCTTTAGTCACTCTGCCCTCCCTGCCTCATGGAGACAGCTACTCACCTTTTCAGCCTACGGAGGCCTTGCTTGTGCCACTCATCGCTGTGGTTACGGCTTTGACTCTGACAGCGAGCGTAGGACTCGCAGTTGTCCTGAGGTGAGACACAGCAAGTGGGTGGAGGGGAGAAAGAGGGGACAAGAGGTTTGCAGGAAGGGTGGAGGTGAGAAAGGTAGCACAGAACAGTCAGAGCACGACAAACTGAATAATGCAAGACAAAGGGACTGGCCGTGCTCGAGTGCAGTTTGAGGACTGAATTATAATTTGTTAAGCGATCCCATGTGCAATATCAGTCTACGTAAATAAGGTCATTGTTTACATTTGAAGTGAATTACGCCGATAAGTTGTTTTCTCTGAAAGTGTCGTCACTTCTTCCAGGAAGTGATGACGGCACCTTAGCAGCAGGTGTTCACTTAGATTTCCACCTCAAGTTCTGCGTGGTAATGGGTAATTCTGTCTTTACAATCTAAAAACAAAAAAGCAATTAAAAAAGAAACTAAATCGCTTCGTGTGTAATCCTTTCTTGTAGAGTGATGATGAATCAGCAAAGAACAGCAACAGAACTGAGGAGAAGGAGGAAGGAGGAAAACGGGACAGAAAACATGATGTGATAGCTGAACTCAGTACAGTAAAAACACACTTTAATAACAGGAAGGTTTTTCTTCACTTCAGGTTTGGCGTTTTGTTTTGCAGTGAAATAAATTTCCCAGCAGAAAGTGCCATGTCATTTCTAAAAATCACGTGGAAGTGAGAATACATTTTGGCGACATGCAAATGAGGCAAAACATGACATGGGTGTCATGTTTGAAAGACGTGAAAAAGGAATCAAGCGAAGTGATGTCAGCCAAGAAACAAGTTATATACAACAGACCATACAACACAGCTGAACTCAGAAATGCAGAAATTCCCCAGAAACCCCTCGACATTAAGCAACAGCTCACTGGAAGACAGTTATCTTTCTCTCGTTCCCCCTGAATGAAGCGATGTTGTTATCACGTGGGCGTTTATGAGAGGAATCAGGGATGAGGTAAATCTCCCGGATTGCAGTGTTTTTCAGAGATTACTAACCACAGCCATCCAATTAATCCTGGATAATCCCCTTGTGAGGAAGGAGGGGGCTAAAGCCAGGAGCAGACGTTTTCATCAAAGATTCAACTAATGTTTAGTTACTCATCTGTTCATTCAGAAGTACACAATAAGGTCAAAAGCCCCCTTTTTTTTAGCATTTGCATTATTACTCATTTTTTTAGTCATTCTGTTTTCTGCCACACTTGATGATATCAGCTGCTTTGGTTTCAAATATAGTCTGTTTACTCTTCACACAGGCTCTGTCATGATCTCAACGCCAGTGCTCGACGTCCGTCACGTATCATTTAGCTGCTTCTGGCTGCCTTCTTGTCTTGTTGTGCGCATACGAAGGGATGTTGGTGTGAAACCAAATTTCCTGTGAAAAGGCGCTAAGGAATCATCAACAACAGCAGCAAATTCACACCTGTCTTTTGCCATTGTGTCACATGAGATCATGACTGGTAACAAAGAAAAGTAAGTGAAAGGTTTAAAAATGAAAGCAATCACTTGATGTTGTATGAGTCACTGCCAATTGGAAGTCACCGGTGAATCGTTGCTCAGGTTTTCAGGGTAATTCCTGATGAGCGTATTTTAATCGCTGAAAGCTGGCTTGGGTTATGAGCAAAGGCAAACGAAACAAAGGTCGCAACAGTGTGAGGGGGTGTGTGCGCGGAGGCTGAAAAAGAGAGAGGCTGTGGTCTGTCTGGATAGTGACAGGATGTATGTGTGGTGCTGTTTCCTGTCTGGCTCACTGACATGGGGGCGAAAGCTGAAAAAAGAATCTTTAAGACACCCTCACACAGAGATAGTCGCGTCACAATCTTACAACTACGTGGGTTTATATGTGTGTGTGTGTGTTTTTAACCTAATATGCAGTCTGAGGCTACTGTAAATGCATGCTCAGCGACTTCACTGACAGCCATGATGAAGTGTGCAGTTTGAGTGTTTATGTGCGCATACTGCTGTGGACTGAAATTGCAGCCTCAGCAGGGAGAGGGAATGACAAAGTGTGAGCACTGCTGGAGGAGCAGCGGGCAGCCACAGGGGAGGGCGAAGAGGGAAGTGGGAACAAGAAGAAAGTGGAGTCAGAGGTTTGAGTGGGAGACATCTGTGGGAAGGCAGACTGATTTTTAATGTGGGTTATGAGGAAACGAGGACAAAGACGTCAGATTACACCTCGTGATAAAAACAGTCCCACACTACACATAGAATATACTTTCACATCAGTGACCTATAGTGGTGGAATGACCTCAAGATTGTTGTCTTCACTGCCATAACAACTTTTATTGAAAAATAATTTAATAAAAGCATCAGAAAATACTCCTAAAACTTGGCTTTAGTGCTTGGGTGCT